AGTCCGGAGTAACCTGCTTTACTCTATTAGTCGTGAGTAGCCTGCTATACTACATAAGTCTGGAGTAACCTCCATTACTCTATGAGTCGTGAGTAACCTGCTATACTACATTAGTCGTGAGTAGCCTGCTATACTACATAAGTCCAGAGTAACCTGCATTACTCTACGAGTCGTGAGTAGTCTGCTATACTACATGAGTAGTGAGTAATTTGCTATACTTTGGAAGTAGCAAGTGATCTGCTATAATACTACATGAGTTTTGAGTAATATGCTATCCTACAAGGGTTGGGAGTCCTCTTTTATACTGTATGAGTAGGGAACAAAATAAGAGGCATCGCAGTTTGTGATACAATTTTTGGCAAATTGCGATATAATTTCCATCAGTAGAGCAGTTTTTTTTTAAAATATAAATTTTCTAATAATAGATGAAAACTCAAACAATGAGATGCCGTTAATTTGTCACACCTTTGATCAAATTTCTCGATGATTGAGTTTCGATACAGAAACGAAGAGGCATGATTGTTCACTTTATGAGTGAGTGATCTGCTATAATACTACACGAGTTGTGAGTAATATGCTATACTATATGAGCAGTGAGTTATCTGCTATACTTCATGAGTTGAGAGTAATATGTTAAGTCGTGAGTCATCTGCTGTAGTAAATGAGTCTTGGAATATACTACATAAGTCCATAGTAACCTGCTACACTATATGAGTTCATGAGTATACTACATGAGGTGTGAGTAATCTGCTATACATCCTTAAGAATCTATTACAGCTCATGAGTCACAAGTAAACAGATATATTTTATGAACAATCCATATTAAATTTTAAACTAATATTATTAGACATCTCTGTTAACAGAAAAAAATTGAAGTGATAAGGAATGTTAAATTATAATATAATATATAGAATTAATAGTTTATATTTCATAATATAAGAAAAAATATGCGAGTAAAATGTTTATAAATTATGAACCATTCAACAACCATAAATACCATAACCAAAACAAAGAATTATAACTTTGATCTACCTTACATAATAAACAAATCCTAATAGCATGAATACATTTACATGTACATTATCAGATAGCTTGCCAGTCAAAGTAATATACACCCATTGGCAGGTTTGATTTTAAATAAAAATATTTGGCAGTGGTACAGTAACAATCAACAGTATGAAATATTCAACCTTCAGTCATACACTTTTAAACTTTTTAGGGTGATACTGAATAATAATTTCATCAAAATCTGTCAAGAACTAAGCCCTTCTAGAGAGTTTACAGGTTAAAACTTCCACACGTTTTAAAGAACAAAGGCAATAACTCTAACTAAATATTTTTCGATTCTTTTTATTTTCGATAGGGTTCATCTTGGTTGATAACAAACACTCACACCAAGTTTCGTCAAAATCTGTCAAGAATTGTGTCTTCTGGAGAGTTTACAAGTAATTGTGAAAGGACATGGGTGACGACAATATAGGGCCCCCATTTCATGTGGGCGTATAAAAATGTAAAAGTATTTTAACTATTCTAAATTTCAGAATCAAAATTTAGATAAGTCTACTGCACTCGATGATATAAAAATATTAATAGTATTATTGTTGAAGGCAAATAAGGATTACAAAATATAGATTGATTTTCATAATGACAAGTAATTGACATAAACAAATATTATGATCAATTTATAAATATTATTATTATTATCATTATCAGATTCCAGTTCTAACTATAACACATTATAATAATAGTAAATAACCATTCATTATATACAGTCTCACATGGTCCTTTAGTACATGATTTATCATTGTTTTTATAAATGCCTGGTTCTGTTTGCTCCCTATAATAATTCTTGGCCCCGCCACCTTATGCTTTATGGAAATGCCAACGATTATGAATTCTTCTTTTACATGAGATTCTAGTAAGTGCTGATACATAACAGTTGCCAATACAAAGAATATTGAGTAATTTAACAATAAAATCATGCTATACATTGTGTAGATCTTAACAGTGAATATCTATATATATATATATATATATCTATATACATATTATAAAACTATATACATATACATCAGTATTCCTCATTGCACTGAAAATAAGCACAGTAAAAATCACTACATGGTCAAAGATATACCTGAATGTCAGGTCCACAGAAACTAGAACAGTTTAAAATATTATTGGGTAAAAAAAGTAGTTATTGAAACCGGGTTCAATATTAGCGGTATCGCATTGTTTTTGCAATCTAATATTTCCTTCGATTAGCCAAAATCAAAATTTATCAAGAAGATTTGCAAAACTAATGGCTTTGATTTTTAATAAAAATATTTGGCAGTAAATAAACAATCACCAGTATGAAATAATCAACCTTCAGTCATAAACTTCATTTTGCAGCGATTTGTCAAAATACGAAAGCCTTTTCAAAAACAATGTCAATAACTCCTACAAATTTTTTTCCATTTTTTGATTTATATAGGGTTCATCCATGGGTGATAAACTTCACAGCAAGATTCGTCAAAATCTGTCAAGAATTGTGCCTTCAAGAGTGTTTACGAGCCTTTCAAGAACAAGGGCAATAATGGATACTAAATATATTTCGATTTGTCGATAGGAACAGACGGATAGAAATGTATAAATTTCTTGAGAATTTTTTTCTCTCAACGGTCACTAACCTTAAGGAACTAATGTCATTGACAAGATCCATCTTAAGTCTACAACTTTAATATTTAAGATTGCTATCCAATTGAATAGCCAAAACTCAAATTCAGTGCCCTAAATTGCCAATCTAATATGAACCCTGAAAATACATAAGACAATATTTATTCTATTTGAAAATATGTAAACTGTTCTAGAATTCATTTATATATCAACCAGTGTACAAAAACTTCAGTAACAGATTACATCTAAATCAAAAATAAAGGGAGAAATAAGGAGGAATTAATTAAAAATAATCTCAATATCATAGAAAGATATCCTGCCCTTATGTGGGAATGCTTAAAATACAACCTTTTCCCTACCAATTCAAGTTGTTGCCTTTTAATAAATAATATATATATATATATATATATTAACATATAGGAATACTTTGATCTATGTTTTTGATTTAATAACTCTTTGCAAACAAACATGTCAATCAACAGTCTTGGAAAATGAATTAAGATCAGAGTTTATAATGTTGTATATCTAGCAGCTTTTCTACAAATGAAAAAATAAAATATTATAGGCCTAACATGGAGAGAAATGGTCCCTTGATTTCATGTGTGCCAACTAGTGGTTATTTTAACTGAAAGAAAATGGCATTATCCTTGTGTTTGAATAACCAACTGATTAAGAGATTCATAAACAATATAAAGTATATTGAGCAAAACATATTTGGTATAAAGTAACCCATCCGGGATAATTATTTTATAAAACTTAAAGGTAAGCTTATTATTTGGAGATAAGTGAATGGGTTTCAATCCAGTGCCAATGCTTTCAGAAGGGTCTCCATTGTCCATTTCTACAGTAAAGTTACTTCAGGTCTGTTAATGTAATAAATAAATAATGTCTGTGGTTCCTGCAATTCCACAAAAAAGTGTTTGATGATATGACTAATCGCTAAATATGCTTTATCACATGAGGCCCTTTGCGATAGGTGACATCATCAAACACTTAGTTTTGATGGAATTGCAGAAACCACAGATGTCTTATGGAAATTGCAAAGGTGCAAATTGATGCTATCAGTGTTCCTGATACACATGAAAATTTAAAAATCTCTTTACAATCCCCCTAAATTTGCATTCATGTCTCATATTTTGATTATAATAGTATTATACATTTGTTATAACTTATTAACAAACTAGTTATAAAAAGTTTTAAACTGATTATTTCTCCTATCATTTATAGAAATTATATTTTTATTGCTACAAATAATTCTGAAAGTGGTATTATACCTAAAAATATATTTCTTTCAACTTATTTCAAATATATTTATTAGATAAAAGACTGATAATCATTAACATTGTATTGTTTCTAAATTCTACTAAATAAAAAAAGCAAAAAAAACTCATATAGTAAGATGAAAGTTTCATTAGTCTTGCAATGCTACTGATTAAATATTATCGGATCATGATCAAAATCAAAAGTCATTATCTATAAATTGGTATGATTAAGTGTCTAATGATAACAAGCTAAACAAGCTAATAAAACAACCAACAAGTTTGAGAACAATGTACCATACACATCACTGATTAATATTGTAAGTTATATTTAAAACTATCTATAATACTAGCAATCATTTTTATGGGGATTCTTTAATACTATAAATTAAGGTTCTAATGTTTAGAGCAGTTTCCAAATACAGAAGAATTCATATTATCCTCAGTATTTTACATGGTTTAGTCAAGACTGTCCTTCTATTTCAGTGTATTTTGAAAAATTGATTATTAGCTTAAAAAGTAATATGTACATGTAGTTTGATCAGTAACAAATAAATTTTACATAGTCTTTGAAATGAGCCAAATATTAAATACTTCATGCTCAAAATGATTGTAAATAGTTTCAAGCAAAAAAAAAATAAAACCATAAATCAGGCCAGCCTTCAGCATTATCTGCTCGTTAAAATATATAATATCCCAAGGAGCACTAACATACCATCATGTGCCACTCACAAATAATAACAGAACCGGAATATAATTTGAATTTTGGAATTTTCTTCAATTCACAGTACCAAATGCCAAAATTCCATTCTTAAAAAAATCCTTAAAGAGGGAGTATGCACCAATTTACTTGATACTTTTTGAAATATAAGAACAAGTATCAATATTATAGTCTTCACATTGATTTTAAAGTGAGAATTTTAACCAAATGAAGAATATAAAGTTAAATAAGAATTACTTCCCTCTATAAACTGTAACCAAGCTTAACTTCTAATATCAATAAATTTCATATATTACTAGCCATTGGGAGACAGGATTTAGACATTATTGCCATTAGCTGGCATAGACTTCTCCCTTAAAAAAAACTTATAAAACTTTAACAAAATGTACTTCATGACAAGCACTAAGTTCTTTGTCTGTGAATTTTGATCTGTATAAACATGCTGTATTTTTATGAGTCCAAAATATTCGAAAGCCCAATTCATATAAATCATGGAATATTTTTAAAGCTAAGATATATCGATGTTTACTTGGTTCATTATTATATTGATCAGGATTATATGATGAACAACCTTCACAAGCATGAAGTTCTACTAACAGCTGTTTTATATCAGATAATGAATTAGTTTGAATTAACTGAGGTAAAACTTTCCATTCCCATTCTTCTATATCCATTTTTAACACTTGTAGTTCTTCCTGGCAATAGAAATTCATCAATTATTTCAAGAAGATTATAAAGTGTGAAATTGATAAGTGGCTATTTTTTACTATTGAAAAATGTTTCAAATAGAAAAGCCATCATCAGGATTGATGGTTAGAAATTGGGGTTTAGTGGTTGAAAAATTGTGTCTCGACTTAAAACAGATCAACAATGTAGCCAAAATAACTAAAGAAGACTGACATTTTAAAATTTCAATATGTTTTCAACTTACTTTTTTATGGCCCTGATCATTTAAAATATAACTCAAAGGTGACAGTCTCCATCCACTTTCTGAGACCACCATAGTTTCTCCTATACCAATTGGCTGAAAATGAACTAAATCACTTCTACGATGAGCTTTTGATTTGGTACTGAAAGAGAAAAATCATAATGGAATATAGCTATGTTACTCTTTTTTGCCTGATGACTTCAGAGAAGTGGTAATAGTAATGGGTTTTTATTTAATTAAGTGAGTAAATAAGTCATATTTCCTCATTATTTATGTCTATCCAGCTGAAAAAAACAGGAAGACAAAAGAGCCAAGGACATGCTGTTGAGAGGTGATGGACCCTAAAAATTTCATTAACCTTGTAAAAATAAGCCGTTCTTTGAAATACTTTTTTGAAAAGAAAAACCTACCTGGGATCAAAGGAAAATACTGGAATTTTATATTTTTTAGAAATAGCATCATCAAAACTAAAATCATTATTAATTCTGAAAAAACAAATAAACAAAACCAATTCATAAACCATAACTGATATTCATTGATCAATATCTATTACATTGTTTATATTAACTGATATAACTGATAACTGATTTTCAAATCAGTCAACAACACTTATTTAGAAAAAGAAAAAGCTTACCCAAAAGAATAAACGAAACCATCTTTAGTTGGTCTGTAAGGTTCATCTGCACAAACATCCCATCCACCATCAGTTATTTTACCCATTCTCAGTCTATCTTTACACTCATATTGTACATGTTCTAAATATCTACAATAACAAAATGATAACACATAGATCTGAAAATAATCAACTAGGTCAGCTTTTAGTCTATGTTAAAAGAGCGAATTATTTTGAAAGACATTACTTTTAATGCTCAAAATATCATTATTAGACTAGCCTGTCAGATGTGGTGTTCTGGTGTGTTTGAATTAAAAATAATTGCTGAATATGATGAAATGGCTGTAGTGTACAGAAAAATTGAAGAAGGATATATAGTTTAAGTGTAAAACAACATGTGATATACTAAAACAAAAAGACAAATTCAATGTTTGCAGACAATATCAAAATTTGACAAATGACTGGCACATTGCATGTGGGATTATACACTCATATATATTAAACCATCCAAATATTACTGTATAATTTCTCAACATAAACATCTCTTTTCTTTTTGAATTTTTGATTTTTGAAAAGATACTTTTGAATTTGAAAAAATATTTTTGAATTAACAAAGTCAAAAGTTTTGTTTATAAAGTCAAAAAGAAAATTTCAAATTTGGAATTCAAAAACATGTTGTTTTGAGATTTCGTACTTTTCACACCTGAAGATTTATTGATTTATTTATATATTATTGAATTCAGCAGCTGTTCAGTAAAAAATCAAAATCTGAAGTAAAAGGTCAATATTGTAAGCATTTTAACCTTATTTAAATCATAACAAGATTTAGTGATATGAAAAATTCAATTCTTTCCATGTATTTGAATAAATACAGATGAGTAATTATTTCAAGCTATTTTCTCCAAAACATAGTTTATCCTCATTTTGAATTGTAGGAACTAATTTGCTCTTGTAACAAGAAGGTATTGTAATGACTTTTCATACTGAAATACTAGAGTCTCAGTCCTTAAATTTCAATGTTCATTTTACAAGAAGACAGCTTGCCAGGCAAGGTAATATATGCCCACTGGCAGATTTGATTTTGAATAAAAATATTTAGCAGTACAGTAACTATCACCAGTATGAAATATTCAATTTCCTTTGTACATCACAAAAGTATTATTATACATGACATTTTAATTCTATTCAGTTTTTTAACTGATGTAAATGGCAACACTATTGAATTGTAATAGATGAGACAATTATTATCATATATCAAAATCACAGTTTTATCATCAACTGTTTGTTTTATCTGAATATCAGCTGCAGGTGGCAGCACTAATAGGGGTACAGAGTTGCATTCCCCCCCTAGCAAAATGGTTTGCACGCTCAATTGTACCCCCATTTTTTTTCAACAATTTTGAAATAGAAATTTTATACGTTTTTGCCTCAAAATATGTTTCAGAATGGTCCCAATTCTTTCAATTTTTTGAAAATTGGGAGAACTCTCTCAGACACTCTATGACAGGCTTGCGAATATGACCCATCCACAGAGATGACACATTTTGACTTCAACCTTTGAAGTTGTCCACCATTCAATCAGCTGACACTACAACAAATCAGCTTTGATTCAACCCACAGAAAACTGAACTGAACTCCAAATGGGGTATATTGACTAAATTAGATGTATGTTTTTACCGTTACTAACATTTAACTAGACATGTTTTACCTTGTCTATTAAGTCTTAAGATTATTTACTTGTAAACACTTTGGTTTTGTGATATGATGTTATTTTTCCCACAACAAAGAAAATAAATATGTATAGACTTGAGAGTGTGTGATAATATCAAGTTTTGCTCAGTTAAACAGCTAAACTTATACCTTGAGTGTATCACAGAAGTTCGTGAATACTAGCAAATGCAGCAAATCTAGGCCCTCGACAGAAAAACTGTAAAAAAATAATGACTCATGACAGAGCTCTGATTGGCTATATTCGCTGGCATACAATCCCATCAAATTGCTGACCATGAAACAAGCAGTCACGGTATAAGATGAAAATGTAATACTTGACCATTGTCATTTTCTGTCCTCAATATTACTTTAAGTCCAGCACACACACGAGCCATCAGCTCAGACAGAATTCATTCGTGCACTTCTCCTTAAGACGATAGCTTCCATGTGCGGGTAAATTTATGTAAGATTTTGGTCATTTGTGCGCCCATGAAATTGAATTTGATGAACAGTATTTCTTAGTCTTCAGAAGACGAAGAAATTTTACTATTAACGCTGTTACCTGTAGCCATATAACTTAGCACAACAGTCAGCCTTTTACTCAGGCTTTTTAAAAGACGCATTCTATTCTCTTGATTTGAATTGATAGGGTTGAACATTGTCCAAACATCTTTAAAAGACTGTCTGTCTAGGCGATGATATTGACGAAATTTCTCTGGATCTTCAGCATGTAACTCTTGTATTATGTTGGAAGAAAGCTTCCCTTGAATGCCTTCTCTGGATTTTAGAGTATGATTACGGCATAGTAACAGCGTTAGTAGCAAAATTTCTTCGTCTTCTGAAGACTAAGAATTAGGCTACTATCAATCAAATCCATGGGCGCAGCCATTCTGTTACCTGTAGCCATATAACTTAGCACAACAGTCAGCCTTTCACTCAGGCTTTTTAAAAGACGCATTCTATTCTCTTGATTGGAATTGATATGGTTGAACATTGCCCAAACATCCTTAAAAGAAATTCTTTCTAGGCGAAATTTGTCACTACACATGCATACATAAATTCACCTTTAAGCATAATAATATAGCTTTAGTTACCGCACAAACAAGCATTTGTTCATTATTATCTAACACATTTGATTTTCAACTTTTCGCCACGAAAGACCAAAATCTTACATAAATTTACACGCACACAGAAGCTATTGCCTTAAGGAGAAGTGCATGAATGAATTCTGCCTAAGCTGATGGCTGGTGTGTGTGCCGGACTTTACATTGATAACTTACTCATGATAAATACTAGATAAATCAGCCCAGCTTATACTGGATAATAATGATACTGGTGGTATCCTCCATATCCCTTTCTTTTTATATTTAGAAACATCAATCTAAATAGAAAATAATAAGAGATTGGTAAAATATGTGATATTCATGAAAGTAGATATCTGTTTAAAAAAAACTTTCAATAATTTGAATAAGAATACATACCGTTGTTGCATCCTTTTCCAACTTTTTCTCTTTATTTGGTTTATAAGGTATCTTTATACTTAGATCTAAAATATTTTAATGTAAACATGATGAGATGGACAAGAAATTTTAAATAATAAAGCAAACAAAATGTTTAATATAAAAGTGGATGCCTATTTGTTTTCAGATCCTTCTAAATCAAGTTTGTTACAATTATTTTTTAAAAACTGAATTAAAAAAAAAAATAGTAGTTAATGTCCAAATATTTAATTTTTTTTTATCTATGTTTTATGCAAAATCAGTTTAAACACTTACATTATTTGAAATAACAGGGATTATATCAGCGCTAAAATTTACAAATCTACGCTTTGGGTTTATGCATATAAACACATACCTAATTCTACCCAAACTGTAAGGAAAACATGAACCTGACAGACAGACATGGGCACAAGCATTTTAGAACTGATGTGGGCATATACCGGTAAAAATGACTTGTATCTATCTGAATACTGGAATGAACTCCTGATTCCCTGACCAATATTAGTGAGAAAGTGCCTCATTCACTGCGATACCACACCTTCCTGAAACCCTGGATCTTAACAATGAGAGGTCAGACGATACTAGTTCTATATCTACCTGGTATTTTAATTGGAGCAAATCTAAATCTATCATTTCCATCAATTCTATCTCTAGCCGCTCTACCCATTAAAACATTTCGCTGCAAAATAAATCATTAATAAAACATTCTATCAATAAATGCAATCTGTCATTTTCTTTTGACACAGCCAGCTTTATGTAAACCAGTAAGCCCTGTGTTAAACAAGTGCAATAAATCAAAACCATTCTTTATATCTAAATTTAAGTGCATTTAATTCCATATGATAAAAAAGCATAAAAAATATATAAGCTTATCTAACATATATCTTATGTAATGAGAAACACATTGTACAATTTTGTTTATTCACATCCAATTATAGCTACACAGAATTGAATTCAATATTCACCTTCACCAGGGGTGGGCAACCTACGGCCCGCTGTTACTACGTTAGTTCAGTTAACCTTTACCTTCACTTGTTATTGTTGGCCCAGAAAAAGTGGTGGAATTCCCCTCATTTTGCAAAACCCATTTTGGTCGTGAATTTACTTGAGGTTAATTGTGGTCGATGACTGGGAAACTCTGATAAGTTCAATTGCAGCTGTTATCTATGTTACTGACGTACAAACAACTGAAAGCTACAATTTGACTAAGCACATCTTCTTGATTTTGGAATGGCAACATCTCAATCTAAGCGTCGCGAGTTGGAGAGTGAAAATCAGACATTTAACGAGTCTTAAACTACAATAAAGTTCATATTACTTTTAATACGTATCAACGATACTTTATGATCTAGATTATGCTTTTGTGAATGAATATTTATTTTGCTTGGAAGTCCTCAGAAATGAAATTAACAGCAAGTTGTTTATTAAACCTTATTAAATAAAGCTTATTATTATCATCATTATTATCAGGTGCACCCCGGGTAGTTTTCATGTCTCATATCTAGCCCTTTCAATCAAGAAGGTTGCCCACCCCTGACATAAACAATACAGCTTTATGCTATATTGATGTCCTGAGCCACTTTACTTATTATACTCAAATAATAATAATGTTCAAAGTTTGTTATCTCTTGGTTTTTGTTTCAAGGTGCCCCAAGGAGCATCATAATCTCTTTTCAAAGAAAAATGTGTAGATTTGGTTCAAAACAGATGATGGAAAAAAAAAGAATTATTTGAAAAATGACAGAACTGGGCAGTGATAGTTAACATATTGGTTATGATACTAGATAGATTTATGTTCGACTTTCTACATCTGAAGAAGTGCAGTATGCTATGAGGCAGTAGCTATTTCAAAGGATGTCTGACCTAAGCTGAGGTTAAACCTCTAGCTACCAAACAAGATTCTAACTTACTGAGTTTCTGTTGACGACCCCCCACCCCTCCCCCTTCTTCTTAAATAAATGAAATTTAATATCAAATACTGGTATAAATATTTATCTTAGACATATAAGCTTACTCACAGCTCTGTCATTCTGATTGACAACCTTACAATACAAAATATGTAGTACAAATACCCTAATTGATTGATTGAGGAAAGTAGGTCCTGAGGGCACATTTTTATTTATTTTATTTATTTATTTAACCAATACCTTCAGTTTATGTAAATTTAACTTTACACTTTGGATATGTTTACATTTAAAAACTTTGGCATTTGTCAAGTATCATTAAATTTTCCAAATTCTGTCTTTTTTTTAAGCTTCTTGAAGGCCCTTTGTATTATATCTGCTGTAGGAAACGTTGATAGTGATAAATTGTCTTAATTTATTAGTTTTTTATTTCCAACATTTCCATTTTCCAGTCAAAGAATGATGACTTTAAGCCTAAATGTAATGATCAAGTGATCAATATACAGTCGAGTAACCTAATTTCGTGGAAACCTATTATTCGTGGATTTCCGGAAAGGATTAATAATTTACATGAGCGACCTCCGCATTAGTTTGTTTTAATAAACATGGGTTTTCTCTACAATATCAGCTAGTAGAATGAATCCAGTAGTTTCAAGCAAGGTAAAATGTATTAATGTACAGTGGTGTAACCTATTTTCGTGGATATAAGGATTCAACACCGAATTTCGTCAAAGTTAAAAAAACGAAAAAAAAATTTTATGCCTTAGATGTTTCCTCAGATATTCTACAAAATAATTAAAATTGGTTTATTTCGATTTTCTTTATGAATCCTTCACTTTGACCAATATTTCATGAGCAACCAACTCGGCAACGGCGGCAGAATGCGTCACCTATTTTCGTGTACAATGTTTGATCTATAAATAAGTCGAGAAAAACACGTTGTATAGATACCGGGTGGTATAATTAACTTCTCTTAGTATTTATCTTTAATATCAATTCATTATAACTAGTGACAATTCCTTCAAAGAACCATGATTTTAAAAAAAAATAATGACTGACAAAATAAGATACGTAGCGTGATTTATTGCTAAAAGTCACTGAAACAACATAAGAATATGGTCCACTTTGTGTTCCATAGAAATTTTCTGCTGACACGAAATCCAGTAGTTGATCACGTGACTTCAATTGTTGGATTATATTCTAGCAGACGACACTTGGAATTCCGATTACCGCTTGGGATTATAAGGAAATTCGGCCGATAAAAAATGGTGATGTTTGGTAATAAGTGAAATCCGCCATTTTGTATTTGTTGAAGTATACATTATTACACTTTACCTTGCTTGAAACTACTGGATTCATTCTACTAGCTGATAT